GCACGCACACAACAGACAACATCGTAGGGCTCAAATAATGTGCGTACAAATGAACTAATTTCGAAATTTTCAATGTGCCGTATCGTATGCGTTTGGGTTTTTTCTTTTGCTAGTTTTTTTTTTTTGTTATTTTCTTTTTGTTTTTTCGTTTTTTTTGTTTTTCTGTTTTTTTTTTTTTTGCTTTCTTATATTTAAAATCTATAGTCGTGAAGTTGTGATGGTAGTAGTGGCGGTTTTGCGAGTTCCCAGACACTCGTAAATAGGGAAAGGGGTCCGAGAGGTGCGGTTTTCTTTGTAAATGATTGGTTTTTGTGGCTGGTTTTTCTAATACGACAGTTTTCCATAAAGCTGACTGCGGTACTGCGATAACCATAATTAACTGTATGCGCACATAAGTATTAATAAAACTAATGCACATAAAGTTAAGCAGAACTTTATGTTTTAGAAATTACCCTCATTTGTACATATACATTGTATATATATATATATATATATATATATATGTTTACATTCAATATGTAAACGCATTGTTTGGTTTTTCACTATAATTCGTCGCATAATTACGTAGATCAGCACGCAGGCAAATGTATCATTTTGCGGGTAAATATGAAGGTATATCACATTTGGTATCGCATTGAAAACACCTTAAAAAGGCAAAAAGAATGAAAAAAAAATTTACATTAATTACGCCATTAGGTGCATAGAAATCGCTTATATATGCAGTTGGGTTAAATTTATTCTTCGAAAAAAATCCAGCTTTATTTTCACATTTTTAGGTTATGTTTTTAAAGCCTATTGGTCACTAATGTCAATATCGAAATAAACAATTATTAAAAAGGGAAAAGTAATTTTATATACTTTAAGTAATAGTCCCCGTGATATAAGCTACCGAACGAGTATCGAAATAAGAGGAAGAATATTTATAGCAAATTTTTCAATTCATATCTATTATATTTTTTATCATATATTATTAACTAAAAAAAAAAAAAAAACGTTTTTGCTCGTTCTCATTATTATTTCCGCTGCATATGCAAATTGAAATTATAAACGAATTTTAATTTTGCCCAATAATTAATAACATATGCGGTGGTAAATTGCACCTATCTATCCAATGAATGATATTCAAAATTGCAGATTACAGACGTATGGACAGACATTGTTATTTCGACTTGAAAAATGCGCATACATTTTATAGGGCCTCTGACAAAATTGAATAATACTCTTAAGCTTTAGCGACGAAAACGAAAGGAGAATAGCCTTAATATGAAACCTCTATGAAATCCATGACTCATACATATACATAAGTAATGGGAAAGCGTGAATCTCTGATTTATTTACAAATATTTTTAATTCTTAACGTTTAGAAATCAAACCTAAAAATTAGAATTTTGCAAAAAAAAATTCAATTCATTTATCAATAAATTGAAAACTGAAACAAATTTCGTTTCACATAATAGATAACGAATGTACGGCAAATTGAAAATTGCTTGATTTTTTTTTATCTATATTTACTTTAAGGTAAGGTAAGGTAAGGTAAGGTATTCAAAGGGCGTTGCATGTCGTATGCAAAACGACTTATTTGTCTCGATACTTTTGCAAATCTGGGTTGATATGGCGCTATACGATCACTACCACAGCCACTTAGCGTTGACAACCACTTATATTGACTCCTTACGTGCAACGTATATACAAAGATACTAAGTAAATATTCGTGTGTTCGTTCGTATATGGAACAATATTTCCTTTTCTCAAATTTCTTTACAACAAATCATTAAAAAATTATTATTCAATTTTTATTATTATGGCGTTTATGTTCTTATTACTATTTTTGTGACAAATTGTTTGTTTTTTGTTTGTATATTTCATTTATTTATTCTCTTGTTTGCTTTTCATTTTCTTTTTCTTTCTTGTTTTTATTGTTTTTTTATTTTACAGAAATGGGAGTTATTTGTTCTGAGTCGTTTAGGTTGGGATTTGTCCTGTGTTACGCCTTTGGATTTCTTGGAATTGTTATTGATACGCCTGCCCATTAGAAGTACGAAATATCCCGACTTGGAGGTGGATAAAGTACGACAACATGCCCAAGCCTTTATATCATTAGCAGCCAAAGGTAAATTTCATTTAATCATACAATGTATATTATACGTAATAATGTTGGCCTGGCAATGAATATACATACATATTACTGCATGCATGTGTGTGCATGCATACATGCATACATATCCTGAAGGTTTACTTGGGGTCTTTAGGCCTTTCGGATAGAGAATGAATATATGCAGGTAAATACGATGACCCCTAGAGTTTATTTCGATGAATGCTCAGTCGGTCAAGGCATAACCAGTTGGGAAAATACCCACTAGGCAATGGCCGCGACAATCCTATCTTTTCCTCTTACCTCAATGCTTAAGAGAAAGGGGATATCATCTAAGCGATTGGTCATATAAAAGAAAGAAAAAAATGTCTAGAGTTTGCGGTACACTTTCAAATACCATATATTGATCCCGATTTATCTTAAACTTGGACGTAAAAATGTTCGGAAATAACCACGAGCTTCTTTTAATAGTTGGCTTATATGGAAATCGATCCTCCTATGCAATACTCTAATACTTGCTCCAAATGTGTCCATTTACCCTTTGTTGGTATACGCCAGGAAGTCTTGCCGATAAAATTTTGTTTGATAAAGCGATCTGTGACAGGCTTCAATATATGCATCAGCTCGGCCGATAAAACAATTATGCGACTTTAGCTTTGTTCCTCGCCGAAAATATTTCTACTATTTTTACTTAGTCAAGATAGCTCTCAAGTTTTATAAGAGAGCTTTATAAAATTGCAGGTTTTCCGTTAATTTTAAACTCTTCGGATTGGTGATCGCAACTTAAAACACGTCTTCGCCTTGCCTTGAATCAAAAAATTTTTAAAAATTACGGCAATATTACATGGACGGACGTCAGACGGACAGATAATCTTAGATCGACGCAGAAAGTGATTCTGAATCGGTGTAATAGAAGGCGGATTTATCTTAAGCTTTTCTCGGTGTTACGTACGTCCGCAAAAACTTAATTTTTTTTTTAATTCTTTTTTTATATAGACATACACTATACGATAAATAGTAACAATAGATATTTTTTTTTTTAATTTTTTCTAACATTAAGTATGTGTCTTTTTTTTTTTTTGGGGCTAACTTCAGGCCAGCGAAATTTTAACCTCTAAATAACTAACGACTAATTCGTTAAAGTAAAATCTGTCGAATGCGTTGTGCTTTAGGTGTAACAAACGAAATATGCAGAGAGCAACAGCATTCGCAATTTTAGTTGTGTAGGAGTGCCGACGTTGTAGACCTATTTTTGAACAGTTTGGGGCAAATTTCAAATTCTCCGCAAATGTCTAGGGGATGTCCTCAGTTTCGCTAACGGGAGAATATTTCTTTGCAGGTTCTACATAGTTGAACAGGCGGGGACATGGACAGACAAACACGCGGACGTGCTTAGGTTCAGATGCGGAATGCACCTCACCTTTTCAGTCTTTTCGTCTCCACCTGATTAAACGACACGCCTACAACGCCCACAGGCATATGCAACAAAAGTTGTGAACACGTTCTTTTTCCGTGTTTTTTGCTTGTTGCTCATAAAGTACAACACATACACTATATAAATTTCCAACTTTGTTCTGACAAATAGAAAAATTCAGCCGCGCCCATTTTATCTAATGGAGTATCAAAATGTAGCTTTTTTTCTTTTTTTTCAGTCTTTGTGAGAATGACGATGACGGGGCAATTATGATATTTGAGTCCATTTGGGTATATAATTAGGTTACGGAAAACCGGTGTTTACGGATTTACGTGTAAAAATTTATTTAGTAATAATTTGTTCATTAATTACGAAACCATTTATTTTCATACATTGTTTCCACAAATTTTTCGTTTATTGATTTTCACAACTTAGCGATAGGGAAAGGGGCGCATAATAATGCTACGATTTCTTGAATAAAGGGAAAAGTTTGAGTTGAAATCAATTCTGTCAGTTATGCACTTTAGCTTAAAAAAAGATTCATGCTTAGTGGCGTTTACCAAGTGAAGTAACGTTCGGCATGAACACAACTTAGCGTAGCTTAATTAACTGTACTATGCTCACTTGTTGTTTAATATTCCGAATTTTATTAATGTTTTTGGAATCCTGCTGGGAGTTCTTTTATAAACATCCAGGAAAACGTAATATCCAATACTATTACTATTGTTATTATTATTATTATTATAATTTTTAAAAAGAAAAAATGCATTTTTTTTTTTTTTTTTTTTTTTTTTTTTTTTTTTTTTTTTTTTTTTTGTTAGTTATTTATGTATCCGGCAAGTGTGTGTGAACGCATTGAAAAACAAAACTCGGTACGAACACTTGACTTTAATGTTAAGTGTGAGATCCTTGGTAAGCAGTGTTTACTTGAAATTTAATCGCTTTGTTATTCTTTCTGTTATAATTTTTAATTTTTCAACGATATTTTATAAATGAAAAAATATTTCAAATTTATTTTATTTAAGGGCTCGAATTTCTCCCCTCCCTCCAAAAAAAACAAAAAAAATCAATTTCTTTTGGAATGTTAACAGTAGTTTAATCACGTAATGAAAATTAAAATTGATTTACTTTAGAAAGAAAAAATTAAAAATAATAACAATGAGCAAGCAAGGGAGCTAAAGTCATTTTAAAGTCGAATCTTGGATACTTTACCACTACAACGAAAATAATGGCCACTAAAGTCTACACAGATCGGCGATGCGAGGGGTGTGATTGGTGCTGTTCCCCATTCAATTCGTAACGATATAAAGTAAGATTTCGGAATAAGTTGCTCTGTTCGTGATCAGGTTTTTGCCGTAGACGTCACAATGGCGCTCATTTAGAGCGAATAGACCTCATTTTTATCGAAAAGTTTCATTAGCTAGTAATAGCTACCAGTTTTGGTAGCGCTTCAACTTCTTCATATCGATCATCTTCATTCTGAGAGGCTTTTATAGGCAGTCGTACTAAGTTGTACCTAGTAGTTGTTTGTGTGTATGTGTATATGTATATGTGTATGAAGCACGTTTTCACCTTTTTCATATTGATCATCTCCAGTTCATATCTATTGTAGATCTATTTTTAGTTAGATTTTCGGATAATTTCCAAACTCTTCCGGAACTTCTGAAACTAAAAAAGTGCTGAGCGCACATTTGAGAAATTTCGCATATCTAAGACATTTTGACAAGTTTTGGAGCAAACAGAGAAACACAGGACAATGAAAAGATGATCGAAATCGTTAGGGAAAGAAATTGTTTCGACACAGACATAGACCAAGTGAATGTTACAGAGGGTCTAACAAAGTTAAAAAACTTATTTTCTTGGTGTGGGCAGAAGCGAAAATGAAAAACAAAAAAAAAAAAAAAAAAGAAAAAGACGATTTAAAATATTCTGAGGTATCTTCACTTTATGTTTCTTGCTTTTTCGTTTCGTTCGTGTTATCTGAGAAGTGTGAGTTTAAAGGGTTCATTTCTTTTTCTGTAATGTTTCGCTTTGCTTTACTTATTATTGAACTAATCTTGGTTTTTATTAGTTTATTTATTTTTTTTCTTATATTTCTCTTTTTTGTTTTTTGTTTTTTTTTCTTGTTATTTATTATACCCTCTAAGATGGAGGTATACTAATTTTGTCGTCAACTTGAAAAGGAAAAGCCGATCATTCGAAATATCTTTGTAATGTTGATTTGTCTATAAGCCATTTAAAAATGTTGTAAAATAGAAAATGATCTCCATCTCAATCTCTTTCTTTTTTTTTTTTTTTTTGATAAATAAACAAATTAAATTGAAAAAATTCCGAGTAGTTGAACACTTATAATTCACCCCATAGTCTGTGGTTTTACTATGATTCCATAATAGTTTCTCTTTATATTAATTTACTTTTTTTTTGTTTATAATTTTAATAGTGCCGCGCCGCCAGAGAAGACAAACCTTGACAACTTAACAATTTCACATTTGAATGCAAACATTTCTTTAAATTTCTATCATTTTCTTCCTACACATAACACTAGAGTAATTGTTATGTTGAATTGCAGTTTGTGCATGTCTTTCGGTCTTTGCAATTGATTTTAAGGACATTTGATCAGCGATGATCGTTCATAACATATTAGAGAGAAGGAGTGCTTGCAACGCTGTTTTTGCCGTAAGAAAAAAGAATTTATTTAAAATTAATAAATTTGTTCCCGTGTACCGAAACCGGTGCATTTTATACAGCAACTACATTAACTCGTAAGCAGTTGTGCGTAGAGCTAGTATTAAATTGATTATTTTCATTATTTGCACAATGCTTTACCTGTTTTCTTTTTAAAAAAATTGTCGAGCTCATTACTTTCTACTGAAATCCTCCGTAATATGCGTCAGGAACTTGTAGTCGAGAATTCGTCAATGAAAGCTCACAAGTTCTCGTAATATTTCTGCGTCTCATTATATCGATATTTAATCGATTGCTTACTTATCCATACTATTAGAAAAAAGAGGAAATTGACCCTGTATGCACCTGATATCCGTGTATTTTAATAAATAAATAAAAAAAAAAAAAAAAAATGCAAAAACGATTAAAGTTCTTACCATTCCATGAGTAAAAAGCCAGACGTCAGAGTACAACAATTTGGAGGAAAAACAAAAACTAAAACAAATGTTGCGACATAACCTCAAAAGAAAATAATCACAGATTAACTATACGGTATATATCCTGTAATGAGGGGAAACTTTTTCTGTTTTTATTTACGATACCTTTTGATTTTATTTGAGAAACAGATGCGACGGTCATAGTCATGCGAAACATTTCACAATTTTATTAGCATTCCCGTCACATGAACTAATATAATTGATTGCCTTAACTTAGTTTCATCGTTTCCTAGTTGATGATGTTACAAAGAGCATAACAAATCGAGTATATTGTTCCGGGTGATGGGGGCTATAATGAAAACAAATTTGTATTTTTTATTATTATATACATGTATATATATATATATATATATATAAATATAAATATATATATATTTTCAATGGCGTTGAAAGGCATAAATTCGTTCAATTTATGTCTTAATTGAGCGCCTTTTTGCTGAAATTTAAAACTTACGAAATAACAAGACATTCCTTTTTATTGGGTATCGAGGTAGGTGTCTTTGTGAGTATGCCGGTTGAATAGCTTTAAGCTTAAGGTCCGTTTCACGATATGTTTGTGTATGTCTCGGACGTAACGACACATAATTTACATAAAGTTGGCCTTTTAATATTTCGTATCTCTCTAGTAACGACGTGTTGACTTGGGTACGGAATGATAGTACTGCTGCTATTCGTCAAAAAAAAGTCAGAGAGATGAACATGGCAGGAGTCTTTTAAGGTGGCGCACAAGAAAAATAAATAAATAAATAACAAAAAAACAAAAACATTCAAGAATCCGGTTTACACTGACGGCACAGTATGATCGCGTACACACACACACACACATACATACATACATACATACGTACATACATACAAGCATTCGTATACTTAAAAAAAAAAAAAAAAATCAATGAAATTAAAGACAACATTGCTTTGACTGGCTTTTCAATTTCAGTCACCGTTTATGTGCAAATATTTTTCTCTCTCTACATATATAGATATATACATACACATATATATATATATGTATGCGTATTATACACTTGGCGGTAGCGTATAAGTCATTCAAGGATAGAGAGATAGGAAGGCTAAGAGGAAGGAAGAAAGTGCCGTATGACAAGGTGGGATAAGGAAGAAGTACGCGAGAGTAGAAGAGCTTTAAGTGTTTTGTTTTAATAGCGTTGTTAATAATGTAAAATAATTTATTGTGACCACCGCTAAAGGTTTGTGAACGAAACAAAGCCAAAAAAAAAAAAATATATATATATAAAAAAAATAAAGACGCAAGCAATACATATCAACTGATTGCTATAGGACGTACTGTATTGTTGTTGTTGGCGTGCTCACATATCCTTTGGTTGAAAGCGGAATTTTTCAAGAAAACAAATAAAGAGCCAGGCAAATGTACTCAAGCCTGATGTCGCTCTCCAAAGCCGGCAAAGTGCACGAATGTTGAGACAGTAGGATAAATGAAGAAAAACAAAAAAGAAAAGTGAGAACCGTGCTAAACAATAAATGCATTATATATATATATATATATATATATATATATATATATATA